ATAAATGGAGCTTAGCTGCCCAAAGGTCGATCTCCCAATCCCTCTGTTTCCTCCACTCACTTCATCTTCTTCATTCACCTCCAGGATCTGGAACCTGTCTGATCAGCTCTGACGTTTACCTAATACCTACCACAGCCACCTCCCCTGACTACCTCTGCATTCTAGTTCCTGGCAGCTTTGGGGGTAGAGAGTAGTGTATTATCATGGATTCTCGATCATTCACACCTCATTATACACAGTTACCAAACAACCACTCCAGTGGTGGGATTCAAATTTTTTACTACCAGTTCTGTGGGTGTGGCTTGGTGGGTGTGGCATGGCTTGTGGGCATGGCTTGGTGGGAAAGGTTACTGCAAAATCCCCATTTCTTTCCGATCAGCTGGGAGGCAGAGAATGGATGGGGGTGGGGCCAGTCAGAGGTGGTATTTACTGGTTCTCTGAACTACTCAAAATTTCTGCTTCTGGTTCTCCAGAACTGATCAGAATCTGCTGAATATCACCTCTGAACCACTCCCATCCAACACTGTCCCTCCATCCATTCCCCCATCTCCAGAATGTCACCTCTTGGAATAAGTCATAGATGACCTCAAAGTCAGACTACTCCATGGTACTTCTAGTGTGTTCAGAACAAAGATGAGAATCTGGGGGAAAAATAGATGCACCATCAGCAGCAACAGACTAAATTAAAGCATAAAGAGCAATAGGCCTGAAAAGTAATGGAGTCTGGGATTATTAACAGATAGTCCTTTTTACTGCCCCTGCTTCTGTTGCCCCAGCTCTCTGTGATTGCACTTCAGGTTGTTGTTCTTTGTAACTATCCCTCTAGTTGTACCTTTTCTCTACAATTGTTGACAGGTAGGCATGAAGGCCAGAAATAATGATAGCTCGCAAACCCACATTTACACTCAGAAAAGAGCTATTTAAAATCAAAGACAAAATACAGAAGGAAGACAATAGCAACATAGTATACCAAATCAATTGCAGCAATTGTAACCAATTTTATATGGGATAAACAGGAAGGCAATTGAAAACAAGGGTTCATGAACATCAACTAGCAGTTAAATGGCATGACCAAATATCCCTGATCTCAAATCACATTGATAATAAATAACACCAGTTTGATTGGGAAGGAACAAAAATCAATGGCCAGGTCCACACCTGCCACAAACTTGAATTTATTGAAGCCTGGTACTCTACCAAAGGAGCAATTAACAAGCATATTGATCTAGATTCAGCATATGAATATGTAAGAAACCAGACCATTCGAGCGACCAATAAAGAAGCAAACCAATCAGCTGCTCAGAATTTAAATATAGCTCCAAACCAACAACCAATCACATGACCAACTGGCCAAACTGGCACACAAGACACTTATAAACTAAAGAGGAATAGGACAAGAAAATCATGCTGATTATGTTACCAAGTATGATAACAAAACATTCAGAAACTAAATTGAAACCACTTGGGAGAGCAAACCACTGCCAAAATTTAAAACTGGAGCTACAAGTATTTTCTATTATTTTAATGAAGGCCAGATGCTTGTCCACTCTAGGAGCCAACCAAGGTACCAGCAGAGCTAAAGAGATCAATCTGCAGGCTCCCACAGTTCAGTGGCACTAATTATCAAGACTTACAGCTCTGTCTTTCATTTTGACCTTGGGAAGATAGAATGCAATTATTTTTAGCATTCTCTGTATGTCGGCCGGTCAGTCCTAGAGGAGATCAGCCCTGACTGCTCTTTAGAAGGCCAAATCCTGAAGATGAAACTCAAATACTTTGGCCACTTAATGAGAAGGAAAGACTCACTGGAGAAGAACCTAATGCTGGGAAAGATTAAGGGCAAAAGAAGAAGGGAATGACAGAGAATGAAGTGGCTGGATGGAGTCACTGAAGCAGTAGACGTGAGCTTAAATGGACTCCAGAGGATGGAGACTCCAATTAAATGGACTCCAGAGGAAATCCTCTGGAGGAAATCCTGGAGGAATGTTGTCCATGGTATCTCGATGGGTCGGACACAACTTCGCAACTAACAACATATGTCAGCAACCACCTGTATATATACAGACAGAACTGAACTACTATAGAAATTTGCCAGGGATGAAGAAATTTTTAAAAAATGCTATTTGCATATTGTCGCCCATACTAAATAGGAAAATGGACCAATATTCCATACCGTTTATTGTACCTTATTCCATGGATTTAAAATAGGATAAAATAGGACTTTTCTTTTGGGTTTAATGGAACTAGACTTTGAAAATAAATTTCGAACTCTGATGTTATATATATTGACAGCAGCAAGACTATTTTACGAACAGAAATGGAAGGTCACCTCGATCCCCACAATGAATGGCTGCAAAAACTGATGGCGTTAGCAGAGATGGCTAAATTGAATGTTTTGATTAAAGGAAAAAAAAAAACCACAAATACCTTTATTTCTTACTTGGAAACCACTTCTGGACTTTGTGCTTGAGGTGGAAAAAAATGAAACTTTGATTTTGGGTTTTACCAATTAGACAGATGTGTTATTATAGAAATAGCTAGTTTATATTATTATGAAAAAGTTGATGGTAGATGTTAATGCCTTATTTTACTGCACCAAAAGAGTCAGAAGTCAATGCCTTTTTTTTTCTTTTTCCCTTGCTTTTCCCCCACTACTCACTTCTCTTTTTCCTTCTCTAATTTCTCTAATATTTACTTTTGTATTTTCTTTTTATGTCATAATTACAAATTAACAAAAAACTATATTTAATAAAATAAAATAAAATAGGATACCCGTTTCAATAATCATCATTAATAAGAGCTGATTTAAAAAGTGGATAAGAACTGTTAACAAAGCATTAATAAGAATGTTAAAAAAGGACTACATGTGAACATGTTGATGTTCTGAGCATCACCATAAAAGTAGTTTTTGGTTTACATGCCAGCAGTTAAGTGAATGCATTTCTTAGCCAGAAAAGGGCACTAATGTCCCATCAGTTTTGCAATGAACATAATAAATATCCATTAGCCTAACTGTATATTACTGTAATAAAAGAGCACAAATACCAGAAAGAGTCTCATGAGCATCTTTGAAAGGAAGCCATGGGACTCAAATGAAACCTCCTTAATTCAGATACAACACTTCAGATTGTGCCATTAAATTAATGATGGGTTGTTTTTTTTAAATGTATCTAAACTTTTTTCCCAGTTGAAGCCATCATATCACAGTTATTATGTTTATTATATCTGAACTTGCAGGTCTTGTCCACTTTAAGCAATTGCATTTAAACACTTCCAAGGATTCTGTTAATTTTCTGAATAACTGAGCAACTGTGCACCAGTAGATGTATATGATATATAGAAGTGAAGTAACCATTTTTAAAAAGTCAGCCATGTTTATTAGATACTATTCCAGGTTCCAAGATATAAATCTATTATTGGGTGGGATCTATAATATACCATATTTTTCGGAGTATAAGATGCTCCAGACTATAAGACGCACCTACCTTTTTTGATGACGAAAACAAGAAAAAGAAATCTGCCTCTGCCTCCCAGCAATTTTGCCTCATTGCAGCAAACAGCAAATATTTATTTATTTATTTATTTATTTATTTATTTATTTATTTATTTATTTATTTATTAGTTCGATTTATATGCCGCCCTTCTCCGGAGACTCAGGGCAGCTTACAATGCATCAAGCAATAGCCTTCACACTTTTGTATATACCTGCTTAGTAGGGCTTTTTGGGGGCCCCCCAAGCGGTGTTCTATAGCCTGCTTTACTTTCATTTTTGTTTTCAGCATAGCTTGATCAGCACAAGAAAAAAAAAATCTGCTCCCAGCAATTTACCTCTTTGCAGCAAGCAGCAGAGGCCTGCGCATCAATAGGCAATGGCAATCCCTGCAGCCTGAAACAGCTGAGAGTCGGGAGGCCAATCCAATGGACAATCAACTTGTGCTAATTAGGCTGTGCTGAAGCTGAAATGGACTGTTTCTTCTTGCTGCAAGGAGGTAAATTGCTTGGAAGCAGAGACCAAAGAGTGGGGGACAGTTGGTGGGCGGGGCTATATTCGGTGTATAAGATGCACCCAAATTTTCACCCCCTTTTAGGGGGGTGGAAAGGTGCGTCTTATATTCCAAAAAATATGGTAGTTGTCATTAGTCTATGTGACTGGAGATCAAGCTGCTGTGATTTTAATTGATAAGATCTCAGTTGATTGAATATCTGGGTTATTTAGGAAATGTTTCTCTCTAAAACATTGGGGAGTCACAACCACTACATATTAATGAGATTGACTTGGAGGGATCATGATTTGTTTAAACTTAAATTAACCTATATTGTCTTATTATTTTGCTCATTCATGTCTTTAAACTTTGGCATTGCTGTAGTGTTTATGTTCTGTTTTATGTTATATTTTATTGTCATTGAATAACATATAAATATTGCAAACAAATAATAGAAAACGAAGAAAGATTTATTATTCTAACGTTTGCTGAAATTCAAGATACTATAGAGTAGTTGTGTTTGTGTAAGCGCCAGTGACCAAACTTTCATGAGGGCAAAACATTTTGGGGTTGTTTTTTTTCTCATTTTCACTTGAAATCTTATGAAATCCTGACTTTTTTGTTCCACAATATGTAAAATTTTAGGTAGGAAAATCAAGTACTTTTAAGCTTTCAGCCAATAAAGTGTGGTTAAAATGCAGATATTGTGTAGCGTATGGCGGGGGCCAGGGCAGAGGCATCAAAAACGCTACTGTGCCTTCAGTCACTGTATTGCTTATCTTTGGCTTAACTGCTCAAAAGTCTTCAGCGATGAAGTAGTGGTTTTCATGCAGGAAAAAAGCAGGGAATTGCTTACCTATCTTTGTTAGTACTGGACATAAAATGATCAGTGATCTAGGTTAACACAAAGCATTCTAAATCCACTCAGTATATTTAGACTAAGCACTGGGTAAACCTTTTTGACTCCATCTGATAGCACCACAAAGGATTTCATGTAATTTTTTGTCTCTTCTAAAGTGAGGTTCGATCAAATTATGGGAAGAATATGCAGCTCTTTGTCTTGATTAGGATCCTAAATCAGTTTGAGGACAGAAAACAGATTGTTAACACTGTAAGTAGCTATATGAAACCTTTATTGTTGGCAGTTTTATTGTTAGTATAGGCATTATGCTGGCTGACTCCTTTTTGACATTGATTGCAAATCTTTAAGGAACAATCTAATTCGGTCCAGGTGTCAAATAATTAAAAAGATTTTCTTACCCATTTGCTGCTTATTGACTATACATTGCTTGATAGCTGGAAAGCCTGTAACAATTAGTTGTTTCTGAATCAGATACTTTTAAATGGCTCCCTAACCAAAGGGCCAGCTCTAACAGATCTAGAATAGCTCCTAAATTTCCCCACACAAGGGAGGGATTAATTGCATAACACGCTGTGCATGATTTTGATCCTTCACTCTACACCAGAGGTGTCAAACCCACATTTTTACGGCATCGTCACGCGACATATTGGGACATTTTCCCCCTTCGCTAAACTAGGCGTGGGCATGGCCAGCACATGACACATCTGGCCCATGGACCAGGTGTTTGAGAGCCCTGCTCTACACTCTCTTTCTGTCTAAAAAGACATTCCTTTAAACATTCTTAGATGTTTTAAAACTTCTTTAAAACACTCTGTGTTTCTTCTACAATGAGTACAAATATACACATTCTAGATATTGTACACATGTGCCAGTATCTGTGACTTGTACGCACAATGTATTGTTGTTGTGGCTTCAGTGGGTGTTAACCACTATTTCTTATAACACATTCCTTTATGGAAAGGAACTGTTTGTACAGTCTGACAGTTTCATCAAATTAGTGCCATAATGCAACTTCCACATACATTTCTGCTACATCACAGTGCGCACACAAAATACACAGAGCTGAAATTATATCACACCTCTTGTCTTCCCTGACACTCATGGTCATATCTCACCTTTCTCTTATTGTCAATGCAATAATGTCCCAACAACATTAAATTTACCTCTTCCCCTGATAGTATTGCTCTGATCTTGTCCCTGACTGATAAGTGTGAGAGACTTAAGGTGTTATTAGCTGTACCAATCTTCCTTTTCTAACATTGTCTAGTATACAGCTTCAAGCTATGCAAAAGCTATGAGTGTTGTCACTTGTATCTTGGAGACAAAGTCAGTTAACTCTTTGTGAGGGTGTTGAAAATATGTTTTGGGAGTATTGGGGGATGCAGTCATGACATTATCCTTCTGTTGTTACCCTGTCTCCTCTGCAACCATTTTCCTCCCACTATTTTTCCTTTTAATTAGGGCTTTCTTCCCTTAAATATGCAAAGAATATACATCAGTGAGAGAGCTGCTATCCAGAGGTGGCGAGTTCTTCACAAGAAGCTTTCAGAAAGAGGCTGGATGATCATCTGTGAACCCCATATTGAACAAGGTTTTGGACTAGATGACCTCTAAGGTCATTCCAGCTCTTTTTTAAAAAAATTTGATTTATAGGCCGCCCTTCTCCGGAGACTCAGGACGGCTTACAATGCGCTAAGCAATAGCCTTCATCCTTTTGTATATTTATACAAAGTCAGCTTATTGCCCCCACAAACTGGGTCCTCAATTTACCTACCTTAGAAAGGATGGAAGGCTGAGTCAACCTTGAGCCTGGCAGTAATTGCAGGCAGCTGGTCTTAATAACAGGGTGCTTTAGACCACTGTACTACCAAGGCTCTTCAGATCCTTTCGTACTTGTCACCTCTTATCTCTCCATTTTTGACACCAATTTCTCTCCAGATTTCCACCAATGTAGAAGAAAGATAAAGTGCACTCCAATATTTTATTTGGAGAAAACGAAGGATTATTTTTCATTAGCTGATATTAAAAGTGTTCTGGAATATATGCATGTATGTATGAAGTAAGCCACTTTTTTCCCCTCAAGGTCCAAGGAATAATGAGTGTATTGAAGTACACATCTGTTGCTTATTTCCCATATTTATCAGTTTCTGTTACTTCTTCTACTCTCTCATGAAGTAAGAATGGTTGTTCAACAGCCAGTGAGTTTCAAATCTGTTGCACTATAGGACTAAGCTAGTTGTATAATTATGACACGGTCTTCTTCCTTCCTTTCTGGGACTATTTCACCCCAGTGTATTCTCATGAGTTTCTTTAATTTATATTATTTTAATATGGGAAATGCCCAAGTATGATGGAGATGGAGATCCACATGGAAATCCCAAAGAGAGATTGCTCCTACATCTTCTATAATTCCCTTAATTGGTAGATGCTTTCCCTACTGACTGCTGACATGCTGAAAGAGGATGACAATGCATGATCTGAGAGGATGGCACAAAAAGTGATGTTTATATGTTTTAGCAATTGCACCAGGAGCGGGTTCTACTTTCCTTTACTACTGGTTCGCAACGGGGCCGCACGCACATACACAGAAGCTTCTGCACATGCACAGAAGCATTTTGATGACGTTGGGATCAGTGGGTGGAGCCTCCCACTGGTTTTACTACCAGTTCTATAGAACAGGTGCGAACTGGAAGCAACCCACCACTGAATTGCACCTTTATTATTTATACATAATTCAACTTCAAATTCTGTCTTCTGCTACTCAAAGTCCACATGTCCTATTTTCTACTTTTAATTTTTCTCTTGACTACATAGGAAGACCATTATAAACCAAATGGCTTTGAAACCAGTTGCTCTCTTGATTTCTTCTTACATTCACCATACTCTTGTTTTAACATCTCTCAATAATTTCACCATTTCCTCTTTACCTCTGCTTCTTTTCTATAAAATGTTTCATGTGGTTAGACCCATAAAGGTGTTATTGGGCACAGTCTGGATGTATATCTATTCCATATTTTCAATATGGCACTTCTAATATAGTGATTTTAAAGTCTACCTTAATCTTAACTTTATCATACAATAGAAAACCATGCCATCCAAACATCAGATCATGTTCTTCTAGTTTTAATATCCATTAATAGTCATACATGTGAGCAAATGCAATAAAGGGTTGTCTAATTATTATTGTGCATCATGTTCCCTAATGAAGAGGAGGAAAGATAAGCTTTATTGGGGAGCAGATGTTACACTATTACAGAATGACTTTGGTTGGGGAAACCCAGTTTTAAGTTTCAATTTAGGCTACACTCTTTCTCAACCCAGTGTATCCACAGTCTTTCAAAGGTGATGAGGATGGTCATAATATTTATGGAGATAAATCTATCCTACATATGCCTCCTTAAAATCCTAGATAAAGAAAAAAATGTAAATAAATAATAATGGTGTTGCAAAGATCAATTGCAGGACATGGTCTACCTCAATCCCATTTGTCTTGTCTTCCTCATGTTGATAATTATAGGTTACTGAACACATTTATAATACTCCCTTGATTTGAAAACTTTCTTAGGACTTTAAAATACATTCTTAAAAGCATTTTTGAAAACAAGAGCAAGTGAGACCAACTGAATATCTCTTGGGAAGATATTTGATATGGTGGGTTCATTACAACGATGTAAATTAAATGATACATATAAAAATATATTCTGCTGCATCATTTCTGGTTTTTCTTTCCTTCACATTCATTGTTGCCTGATTTGAATTGACACTATCATTAATGAGAAAGTCCATTAAGCTCTCCTTTTGTCTTATCTAACAGATTGGTATGATTTTTCTGTAAAAAAAATTAGGGAATCCCTTTCTTATGCACCTTGGTTCCAGTTGAAATTGGGCTAGCATGTTTTTGCAGTGGGAAAAAGAAACTGGGAAATGATGAAATACAATATGTATTTAAGAAGATAATTAGTTTCGTTCTGAGATGGTTCCATTTCTACTGTCTCCTAACCTTACAGATGTTAATGATAAATCACTGAAATGAAAAACCAGGCAAGTTAATCTTGAAACAATCCAAATCCAAATGTTTAACTTTTATGGATGGATCACATAACATTCTCAATGACTGAATTTGTAGCAGCATGTTAAACTCTATTGTTATTTGTGGTTTATTATGTAATGAGGACCAAACCTGGATTATGTGAACAGGGAAAATAAATTAATTCAGAAAACAAATTAAGATATTTTGTGAATAGAGGGTATGTCCCAACTATAATCAAACAAACATTTATTATTTCCAAAGTTTAAATTCCCAAGCTTATGGTGTTAAAACCAAGATGTGTAAGGACATAGACAAGATATTCAGTCTTGATCTGTCAAAGGGCTTCAATGCTTCTTCAAGTATACAAGATGTAATGGTATCTGAAGAACAGTACAGTTGAGCTGTCTCATGTAGACTTACTGTCTGCAGAAAACAAAATAAGGCGATTGAAATGTGAGATGGTGAAAAGCATTCTATCATTTTCAGGTTGCAAGTGAAATTTAAGACCACAAAGAATGTATTCAGAAAATGGAACGAGGGCCAGGATATGAAGAAAGAGCACAGCTGAGAGAGAGACAGAAACTCCAAACTCATCTTGGGGTGAAGTTGAGTTGAGGTTACTAAAAAGGCTCTTTAGATAAATATGGAAAAAAGAGAGGAAAAAATAGTTTCCTTAATAAAAAGCTAATTTATTAACAGGTAATAAAAGAACTCAGTTATTACTTGTTACTCAGTTGCAATTTTGTCACCCTCAAATGCACAGACACACAGATCTATGTATTATACTGGGAAATACTGAATTGCAACATAAAAGGACAGCATTGAAGTTTGAGACTGAAAGAAAAACAGCCAAAAATTCTTCTTTATTTTGAATGAGTTGAAATTTCCAGGAATTTAAAAATTGCCTATTATGATACTGAAGGAATGAGAAGATGATCTAGAGAAATGTATACACATTATATTGGAGAATTTGGGGAGGGGAGATGAATTGTAAGATAACTGGTGTCCCCAACTCCAAAAAAAAAAAAAAGGGAAAAGGAAGAGCCAAGAAATTTCAGCACCCATGTTGATGTTGAAAATCAACATCATAGGAATATCCAAGAGCAGATTTTAAAGAGATCAATCTGTAAGCATCTTGAAAACTATTTGTTTATATAACAACATTATTTATATCTATATGCTTGCCAGATTCTGGGTAGCTCAAATTAATAACACATCAGTATAGTCTCCAACAATAAAACTACTATAAAATATAGGACCGAAAGATTGCCTAATAGACACAGACATAGAGTAACCCTTATTTTGGGAACAGAAGACACTCTTCCTTCCAACTATCTTCTGAAGGACAGTCTTCCCTTGTTTTTGAAAAACCATTAAGGAAGCTGTCATTCTCACTGCAGATTTCCATAATGTTGGTGTAGTTATGGAGAAAGATTACCTCTGTATAGTTGTCCCTCAAACACTCTATGGAGTTGTGGTCAACAATAATACTCCAATCATAGTGGGCACAAAATGGGAATATTTTACTTGAAGAGGCAGTCCAAAAATGACTGAGAACTTGAACCAAACAGGGATTTATAAATTAATAATCTGCATTTTGAAATGGATTAGGAAACCTGCTGGTAAACAGCACAGCTATTGTAAAATGGACATCTTTCTGCTTCAGTAGGAAAATCTGTCAGCAGATTGGACAGTTATATTTTGGATCATTTTCAGACATCCCAAAGTAAAGCATAATCCCACCCTAGATGGTAGAAATAACATTGAAAATGTTCTTGGTAAATTAATGTAATGATTACAAGTGAGGCAGAGATGGTGCTAGGGAATGGTCAGACAAGAAAGGGCATAGCCTGCATCTGCATAATGGGACATGAAAGAGGCTCAAAAGGGACCCTCCCTAATTATTCAAGATGTAATGGAGACTGTACAAGATTTGTACTTTCAGACTTGTGAGTTTCCATTAATTGGCCTTACAACAACATTTTATTAGCTCATCTTGCCTCAGAAAGCCATTTGGTACACAAAGGACAAAAGAGACAACCTTCTACGATAAGAGATTAGCACCTTGAAAAGAGGATAGCAAGGATATAAACTTGAGAATTAACATATATAGAAGCAGGTTTCTGTTATGCTATTAGACTTGTCTAAACTACTTCTGTCTGCCTGGAAAGTTAAGCAGAGAGAGATGGTATCAAAATGTTTATCTGGTATAAAACTAATAATTAAGGGGAGATACGCTGGTAACCTTCAAATATTTAAAATAATGTAGTGAAGTACCCTATTGGATCAGAAATCCTACCTATTTGAATTCCCTGAGGCACTCCCATTCCTAAAACTCTAATCCCCTACCATTTTAATATAGGCAGAAGAGCCTCATAAACATGGCTGAGGGAAACATTGGAGAGGCATGCAATTACTACAGAGTAATGTAGTAATGGGATGCGGTGGCTCAGTGGCTAAGATGCTGAGCTTATCGATCGAAAGGTCGGCAGTTCGGCAGTTCAAATCCCTAGTGTCACGTAATGAGGTGAGCTGCCATTACGTAATGGGGTGAGCTCCTGGTCCCAGCTTCCGCCAACCTAGAAGTTCAAAATCACATAAAAAATGCAAGTAGAAAAATAGGGACCACTTTTAGTGGGAAGGTAACAGTATTCCGTGTGCCTTTGGCACCTAGTCATGCCATCCACATGACCACGGAAACATTTTCAGACAGCGCTGGCTCTTCGGCTTTGAAATGGAGATGAGCACCGCTCCCTTGAGTCGGGAATGACTAGCATGCATGTGCGAGAGGAACCTTTGCCTTTAATGTAGTATGGTCTAAATAATTCTCCCCAATTCAATAATTCTAGGAATTATTTTTCATGCTTTTCTCATGTCTAAAACCTGTATTAAAAACAAGAAAACAACTCTATCTGGTAAAAAGATGAATCTCATCTAGTTATTAGATGAGGGTATTAGACTGTAGGGTATTTTTAAAGAAAAAATGACAATAGCAATCCCAATTCTTTTCCACCTGTAGTTTGAAATGATTCTAGCCATGTTTTTCCCTCAATATCCTCCCACATAATGTTCAACTTGTCCTGGAGTAGGAATAAACCAAGCTTCCTAACAATTTTGTGTTTCTACAGTAATATTATTCTGAAAGGCATTTGCCTAAGAGAGAGCATGGGGGAGTAGTGGAGTGGAGGTCAGAGCACCCTAACTTTTCAAAACTCTTCTTCTATCTAATTAGTGCTGTATAACTCTATGTCATTAAGAGTCAATAATGGATGAGATGTTCATGTTCTCACTGCTGAATAATGTAGTGCCATTGTATGATTACAAGCAGCCTTCTGGAGGGGCAGCCAATCAAAGCTAGTTTTGAAAACATTTGTAGCTAGAGTGAAAATGTGAAGTGTCTGAGCTCACCAGAGGTTGAATTAGAATGGAGCTGTCTAAATGTCCAAAGGAAATATAACTTCAGGCTCCACTTAAAGAGCTGGGTAATTGCTTGTGAAAATAATCTTTCTTTCTTTCTTTCTTTCTTTCTTTCTTTCTTTCTTTCTTTCTTTCTTTCTTTCTTCCTTCCTTCCTTCCTTCCTTCTCTTTCTTTCTTCCTTCCTTCCTTCCTTCTTCCTTCCTTCCTTCCTTCCTTCCTTCTTTCTTTCTTTCTTTTTTCCTTCCTTCCTTCCTTCCTTCCTTCCTTCCTTCCTCCCTCCCTCTCTCCCTCCCTCCCTCCCTCCTTCCTTTCTTTTTTTTAGAAATAGCAATAAGATAGAATGTGGTCTGGCTTTCTTCATGTCCAAGTACTTTTAGATCACCTGATCTGACCAGCAACCTGTTCTGTATAAATAGGTAAGGACCACAGTTCAAGATATTCTTTCTTGATATTGCTGTTGTTTTCAGCCTCTGGGTAAGAGGCTCAACTGTGCTTTAAATTTGATCGTATTTTAGAAGAGATTTACGACTTTAATGGAGGAAAGTTGCAGAGCTGGAAACGGTTTGGAGATTTAGGGAGGACATCCCTGGATTATCAAACATCTGTTAATGCCACAAGATAAAAACCTTTCCATCTTCAGCAGCACTTAGCAGAACCCCCATGGCTTTTCTGCCCAACATCAGCGGAAATTACATTCCTTCCCCTTTTTGTCAGATGCTTTGTCCAAGAGTGATATTTTCCAGTGCTTTAATAAAATGATTCCCTAGATCTTTTATTGTTTATTAATTAGACTGAAGATGCATTATTTTATTCACAGTTCCCATATGGAACTCTGTAAACAAGTTCCCCATTAAAACAGGTCCTGCTGTGCAAGAAACACAGTTTGGATTGCTTACAGGCTCGCATGATTTTTGAATTAAACTCACATTCACTCTTGTTAAATAAGTAAAGTATTTCAGGCAAGGAAGCCAAAGAAAATTATATTCTAAGCAGCAGCTCTACTGACCAAGCTACACTTTATGTGCTGATGCACATCCTTCCTTTATCTTTGCAACTTCTTTCAGGAGTGAGGAATTGAAGTTTGTTTTATTAATTATTTACTTCTTACATTGACACTATGCCAGTAAGATGCTCAAGATGGCATAAGCAGGAAGATATTTTTTTCCTTTATTTTTATCCTTATGGGAACACTTGTGTGAGATAGGCAGCACTCAGCTGTGGTGACTGGCACAAAATAATTCAAGGTCCATCATGAGCTTCCGAATTGCAGTTTGGTTTTCTAATTATTATACCACACCAGCTCATAGATAGATAGATAGATAGATAGATAGATAGATAGATAGATAGATAGATAGATACATGGATGGATGGATGGATGGATGGATGGATGGATGGATGGATGGATGGATAGATAGATGCATAGATGGATAGATGGATTGTTGGATAGATGGATAGATGGATAGATAGATAGAGGTAGAGAGAGAGAGAGGGAGAGAGAGGGAGACAGACAGACAGACAGACAGACAGACAGACAGACAACAGTAACTGTTTTTAAAACAGTGAAGGCATAAGAAGGTTGTGAAGCTGAAGAAATTATTGGCTGGAGAATGGGCTAAATATTTCTCCTATCCCAAAAGATTATGACGATGACAATTGATCTGATTTGGTTTCTGATAAGTACTTGAACAAATGCTTAATACCTGAATCAGTCTTGGGTAGCAACTGCTTTCTGGAACAGCAGACCCAGATCCAAACATTGAGATCAGATTGGCCCCAAACCTGCTGGCCTGGGATCCAGAGATCAAATGGCCTTCAGAGAGATTCTGTATATTGTCTTGTTGGGTTCATCCTCAGTGACCATTATTTTTTTTTATTCCACTAATACTACTTTTGATTATTTTAATAAATTTAACCCTTAATCACAGACATACTATTTCAGTTATGCTATTACAGACATGAGGTCATAATGACCTCAGTAACAAAAAGACATTCAGTGTTTTCATGGTTGGATCTAAAAATTGACGTATAGAGCAGTAAACCAAAAAACGCATTGATCTCTATCAAGTCCACATTGCGCAGGTCACTTTTTATTTCTCCATCCTTGAACTTCAATCTTTCTTCTCTAATTTTTACATTGGTCCACTGAATGATGGTGCTAATAATTTATTTAGAAAATAATAATTTCCAAATCTCTAGGTGAGTAGGTGAATTTCCGAGATTTCTAGCTGCTGGCCGTAGTCCAGGTAATTACACAATATTATGACTAGCGGTTCAAAAGGTGCAGAAGACCATTTGAATTTGTTC